TTCTCTGATCTGTTTCAGTGAAGTGTTTTCTGAAGCAGGACACTCACATACACATGCCCACAACATGGACCACTGGCAGCAGGAGGAGAAGGGCAAGAATTAATGGTAGTTTATTCATAGCTCGACTGCCTTTGCCTTTCCTAGCATCACAGCACTGTCTACTACTATTCTAGTACTGCGGCCCCTTATTTTTATGTAAAGGGATTTTATTCCATAGCTTGAAGATAATGAGTCTATAAAGTAATACTCCTTGTGAGAGTAACTCGTTTTAGAATGTGTTGAAGATTATGATTAATGGTGGGGCCCTGGCATTTTGTAGACTACTGTTAATACAGTAGCATTTGGGTACCACCTTTTGTGATTTCTCAAGGTGGTATACTTGTTTGTTAATGCATCCCGTGTCCAGCCATTGCATTATGCCAGCATTGGTGACAGTGCTACTTTGTCAGGCTGGAAAGAGAGTCTCAGACTCAATAAGGAAACACTTTATCAAAGGGGATAAAAAATGGAAATGAGCTACTGCCTGTGGGCTCAGATTAAATTAGCCTCGAGAATTCAGAAGCAGCAGCTTCTCTTGTTGTTCCTTCTAATGCAACATTGTGGGCTTGTACATCTCAGCTGTATCAATTCAGCAAATATTTATTTGGCCCCTACTATGTGTAAGGCATTAGTTGCTTATTCTGATTACTCTGGGATATAAAAGCTGAATGCGTTCCCATTTGTGCCTCCAAAACGCCTAGGAAAGGAGATGACACGTGTAGGGGATTATCTGTAATAGAAGGAAGCAGCGGTGTGTGCTACCAGAGAGGTAGAGATAAAATGTGCCAAGATTTCAGAAAAGGGAGAAATAGGTGTTTTAACTGAAAACCAGGAGGGTATGCATAAAGGAAAAGGAAACGGAGCAGAACCTTGAGGGGTGGGTAGGATTTGAACATATGGAACCAGGTTGAAGTAGTTCCAGAAAGAAAACTACACAAGCCAGCAACTGGAGAGGGAAATTCTGGGATATGTATTGCAAAAGGGATTCTGGCTAGAACTGTAGGATCCATGGAGGAGAGTAGTGGGTAGAAAGTAATACTGAATTGCACTGCAGGGGGTTATGTTCAAGACCAAAGATTTGGGGCTTTGGTCTCCAGGCACGAGGGAGAGCCTAAGGTTTTGTAAGTGTAGGAATACCTGCTCATAACAGCACTTCAAGACGGTTCATCTGGAGGATGCGCGGTGTCGGATTGAGGTGGGCGGTAACCTGGCTTCAGAGGATGGCGGAGAGGCGTTGGTGTAGTCCCTGGGGATGCAGCCAGGGGAAAACTGCCACCGTGGACACGGGAAAGGCCGTGGGACAAGGTCTGGGAGAGGTGCCAGGGATGTAGGGTGGAGTAAGTGTTAACTGTTCGTTGACCATAAGGGGAAAAGAGATGGGAAAGAGTCAAAGGCTTTGATGTTTTTAGGAAATAAAAAGGAGTGGGTTTGATTGATAAGACAAAGATTCCTGTTTGAGCTGCCTTGAATTTAAAGTGGTGGCAAGAGTTGAAGCCTAAATATCCCAAGAACAATTTGCGATGCACATCAGCAGTGAAGGTAAAAGTGAAGCTGGAGCTAGGATTTTATTTATTTGGGAATCATATGAATGGGGATAATAGTTGAAGTACCTTTTTGTTTTGAGAGAAGTTCAGGAGGAGGAGTGAGACGAGCACCAGAGAGAGAGGAGGGCCAGGAGTAGACCCGTGGAGTAGACTTCCCGTACCTAGAAGACAGAAAGGGGACAGGAAATCGTCCCCTCTCCTCCGGGAAACAAAACAAAACCACCCAGGAGGAGGGGTCAGAGGCCGCAGAGGTGAAGGGCCGGGGACCAGGGGTGGAATAGGTGGGATCAGCAAGGCTGGATCAGGTGAGCAATGGGCATGTTGCTTCCACGCTGCAAATCTTGCCTTCAAAAGAAGGACAGATCACCTAGCTGTGGATACAATGTGTTTCCAGAGCAGAGCTCTTTAAATCCTTATCAAGGAGTTTTCTGATATGACCCCTCCCACCATTCACAGCCATACGCTTCCAGTTTCCTAGAGGACATGTAAGTCGGTGCGCCTGCTGCTCACTCCCCTAGGAAGAGCCCTCTCTCACAAGCATACGGGTGTTCTTTCCAGGAATCCTCTAGAAGCTTGAAAAGACATCAGTGGTTTTGACATCCCTTTCCCCCTGTAAGGGACTGTGGCAGTGCTGTGACTCCATCAAACACGGCTTCTTTCTGCTGGACCCTCTGCTGTAGACCAGGGGTTCCTAACCTGAGTCAGTAAATATCCTGGCCACTGAATGTACTGTTCTGTTCCATGCGCGTGCATTTTTGGAGATGATTTTCCCTTCTCCTGATTCTTAAAAGAATTCTCTTTTCTTAAAAATAGATCATGTACTGCTGCACAGTGATGTGAGTTCCTTGAAGATAAGAGCCTGTCCTTATGAATTCTGGTATCTTCCTGATACCTCTGTCGGTCTTGGCTGAGTGAATGGCTAATGGTGTTACATTCCATGGGCTGACAGGAATGATAAAGTGCTCCTTTTGGCTCAGTAGCCTCTTGCTTGACTTTGAAAGTATACAGACCTAGGAAACATACTTTCTAATGATAATGTCCTTTATTAGTCTAACTTATACCTTAAAGTGAGTGCTTCAAATAGACATGTTGTCTCATTTATTTCTTTCATAATTGTTCAGTGTGGGGATTGGTATCTTCATTCCGTGAGTGAGGAAGCTAAGACTGAGAGGATGCACGTGACTTGTCACAGGTCATACGTCATTTGTCAGCTATGATGATTATCTCATGGTACATACATGTGTAAATAAAAATGTCTACAAACACAATAGACTTGGCCTTACTTTCTGAAATGCTTATTGGTTGGCAATAGTTTAGTTTTTGTTTTGTATGAATGAAATCTCTTTATTAGCTTAAAATTTAGTACTTGTATAAAATGCAGTGCTTTCCCAATAGTTGTGTTATTGAATGACAGATACTACTAGCATATGGTGACTTTAATCTCTTGGTCCTGTACCAGGAAACATTAAATGAAGTAATGAGGCCCAGGGTTGGGTCTTTGCCGGGTAAAATGTAAGACGGCATATCAGATAGCAGTGTAGTGACACGTGTAAGAGCATGAGCTTTTGAGCCTGACTTGGATTTCAGAGTTCCCCTAAGCACTACTACATCCTGAGTATTCAGTACTGATTATGTTTCAAGTTCTCTTTCAACCTAGAAGAGCACGTGCTAAATTTCTTCCATCTGAAACTAGAGAGAGGAAAATCATCTCTTCCACTTCCTCTCTCCCTGGAGAGGACGAAGGAAGAGGGAGTGTCACAGCAGCCTCTCATCGATGGCGGAAGCCGGTGGACCAGCAAGGCAGCTGCGCTCTGGCCCCGGCTTCTGTCCCGATGCTGCGTGCATGGTGGGGTCTGTAGCAGAGACTCCATCCCCCACCAGCAGCCATTCTTGGCCTCCTCACAGCGTGGGTTGTGAGAGTTCATATTTACATGCAGGCTGGGCTTTACCTTCCTAAACAAGCAACAGTTATTTAAACCTTAATACTAAAGTAGGGGTGGGGGCAGGCAGAATGCGGGGGGACTTGGAACTTCTCAGACAAAAAACTAATACCTGAAACAGAATCTTAAAATGTGAAGAACTTGCAAAGTGACCAGGCAAAGTTCTCTGAAATTAGAATTAGAAATATTTCAGGGCTGGTTAGGATGTTCTGACTCAAAAGCCTGTTGGAAACACGCTGCTTTTAGGTTAAATGTGTTTGTACTCTGTTAACGGGGTGATGGGAACTGTTACTGCTTCGTGCTAATTCAAATGCAATTTTCCAAATGTGTTTGCTCAGTATCACTTTACCTGTTGTTTTAATGATGATTTTTTTTTTAAAAAAATATCAAGAACAAGGAAGCAACTTAATTGTTCGAAAAGGCAGTTTAGCTTTCAGTTGAAAAATGCCTACAGTGATAGATAAAGCGTGAGAATACAGTAGGCAATCCGGTCCCCAGCGTGTACCAGTTAGACTGTTTGTGGGGAGAGGGGCGTGTGGAACGCTAGTGTGCCAAGAGGCAGGACTATTATTCTGCAATAGTTGGGCACTGACACTGCTTTCTCTTCCCATGAGAAAACTGTTAGAGAACCAGATAAGCCTGACATTTAGAAACAGATATTTAAATAGAACCAGAGTTCATTGGTGTAAGCTGAGCTGGTAACGTAAGGCCGAGTATGGAAGGACAGGGTTGTAGGAGGGAGGCTCCTCCCTGCACAGAGATTGTCACCGAGGGCAGCAGCCTCCTAGGGAACCAATGTGTAAGGGAAAAACCACACAAGGACGTGCTGAATCTGCTTTTTCTCTGGGTTACCACTTCCTGTGGATTCTGCAGCCTCGGCTGAATAAACTGGGGCTCCTGGCAGGTGTGTGTCAGATCCCTCTCCACTAGTTGGTAACCCAGCTGCATGGTGCATTCACTTTGTAAATTGCAGTAAATGGGTAAAGCGGTATTTTCAAATGCTTAACTTCACTCATTGATCTTAAACCCTGTAAATATCTTTTGGTTTTCATTTTAGTTGTCCTGAACCTACATAGTTTAGTGTAAGCTGGAGTAAACTGTCTCAAAGTCGCGACCAAAATATATTTGGTGAGGCTATGAAAATTGATAAATTTGCCTCACCAAACATGACCTACAATTGCTTGCTGAAAAGGCACCTGTATATATTCAACCCCGTGAAGGTAGGACAAGAGGTTTCTTGTTCCTGGGAGTATCCTCAGAGCTTAGCAGTGTTACTTGCTCATTTGGCTATTAATAGACTTAATAGGACCTTCCAACAAGTCCTTTACTGGGGCCTTCGTTATAGAGACACTAACACTGTGTATGTTTAAAGACTTTTGGTTTGCTTTACAACTTTGCCAAGAAATTTTTTTTTTTTACCTTTCACTCCATTTTTTTGAAATAATTAGTAACTAATACATAAATTATCATTCTCCAGGCTTGAAACTATTCCAGTATGGCTTTCCTTGGACTCTTCTCTTTGCTGCTTCTACAAAGTTTGGCTTTAGGGACTAGTTTCACTGATGAAACCATTGCTGAGTTGTCGGTGAATATGTATAACCATCTTCGAGCTGCTGGAGAAGATGAAAATATTCTTTTCTCTCCATTGAGTGTCACCCTTGCGATGGGAATGATGGAACTTGGAGCCCAAGGGTCTACCCTGAAAGAAATCCGTCATTCAATGGGATATGACAGCCTGAAAAATGGTAGGTGTGCTTAGGTTTGATTTCGCAAGATGATTTGACTTTAACTTTCAACTCAGTTGTGTTGCCTTATGCCCGAGGCAGCAGTATATACCGAGGGTAAAAAAATGATCTCACTGTGATGGTATGAATAAAAGAAGCATTAGGAAACCCAAGAAAGGTGTGAATTTCTAGCTGCATCCCTGGCTGAGTTAATTTAAAGGAATAATATCTATTATCATTCTTTAAATAAACTTCACTGTGACAATCAAAAGCAGACATGGTTCTTGCTCTGAGAGAGTTTCCGGTTTTGAAGGAGAGGCATTAGTAATCAATTATCACATAAATAACGAGAAATTATAACTATGATGAGTGCTATAAAGAAAAAGAACATTATTCTCCAAGAATATCAAAAAAACTTACTTAAAATCAACTGTATCTTGCTATGTTTATGTAGCATCCAATAATTTTCTCTAATGAAACATTTTTGTATTGGAGCAAATTTCTGTTTTGTGATCACTTTGCCATGATGTGCAATTTCTATTTAATGTTTCTAATACACATGTGGATTAGCTCATTAAAAATTTGAGAGCGCAAACAATTTCTGTTTGATTTTTGAGTTATGAGGTTAAAAAAAGAAGTCTAATGAAAGCAAAACTTAAAGGACTCTTTTGATTTTTAAACTAGGTAATTAAACTTAATTCTTATTTCTGACAGTTATAAAATAAGACAAATTTAATTAAAGTAACATAAGGACTTTGAAAGGAAACAACCCAAATATCTCTACTCTGTAGATTCTACCAATATAATCAATTAAAATGAAAAATAATATCAGCTGATAATACTCAACTGCAGAAAATTAAATCGGACGTCTAGAAGCAGCACAAACATTGGAATCTCCTTCCCACGTCCACGTGGGGAATAAGCCAGTGCTTTCCCTCTGGGCCTCTCTTCTCTTCACCCGCCTCGCTGTGTCTCAGTGCTCCTCCACTCTCCTTCATCTTTCACCGTGTCTGTTCCACTACTAAACTTGTCCTTTGTCACTTTGCAGGGGAAGAATTTCCTTTCTTGAAGGATCTTTCTCACGTGGCGACTGCTGAGGACGGCCACTATGTAATGAAAATTGCCAATTCCCTCTTTGTGCAAAATGGATTTCATATCAATGATGAGTTTGTGCAAATGCTGAAAAAGTACTTTAATGCGGAAGTAAATCATGTGGACTTCAGTCAAAATGTAGCCGTGGCCAACCGTATCAATAAGTGGGTGGAGAATCACACAAATAGTATGTCATTTGTTTCTTTTCTTTCTCTAATGTCTTAGTTTTACCTCTGTTTTACTTCTGAAATTATTTGCCCCCTCATTCCTTTTACAGTTTGAATATCCGATTGCATTTTGGTGAGTATCTACTAATTGTTTTGCGTAGATTATAGTCTATTTTAGAAGCTTTGTTTGTGAATAAACGTTTGAGAAAGGAGTTAAATCTTTTGGCATGTGGCAAATATTGGCACTGATGGTATGAAATCTGTGCTCTCCAGTTGGTGTGTTTTATCGCTATAGTAATCTTAACTGCTGTATGGAATTTTGCTTGAGCTGACTGTTTAATAAGTTAGATCTTGTTAGAATGGGAGTTGATGGCCCTCAACAATATGATTAGGATAGAATAAGAGAGAGTTTAAAAATCAGAGTTTAAAGATGTTTGTCAACTTTTGAACTACAGGCTTGGTAATCAAAAGGTTTATACAGGATTCCTTTGAAAAAGAGCACCCATTTTAAGCCCAAATAAATGGAGAGAAACTGAAAAAAGATGGACTTGTCTTAAATTGTATTTCTAAATCATATTTTTAAAATGTATTTAAACTTTCCAAATGTTTCATATTTTACTATTTGAATTCTCCAATTTTACCAACAAAATAGTTGAAAGTAGAATCTAAAAAATGAGACCAAATTGCAAGTAGATTATTATGGCTGTTCATTAAATTATTTCATGTTGTCAAAACTCCCCAAATAAGTTAATCTAGTAAAGTTTATGTTGAAACAACAAAAGCCCCTGCTCCCATAGCTTTTGTCCTTTAATCCCCGAAACGCTAAGGCACCTCCTTAAGGACCTGAAGAAAGGCTATGACTAATAAAATGAGAGAATACAGAGCAGATGTTGGTCCTGTCTTGTCCACTACGAGATTCCAGTGTAAAATAAAAGAAACACAGTTGTTCTATCAAAGAATAAATTAAGAATAATAGTTCACCTGCATTAAATTGAATTATTAAAAGCTATCTGTTTCCAAACTCTTTTTTAAACAATTTCAACAACCAGCAAAGTCCCAATGTCTTTCAAAGTAGATTTGGAAAGGAATATTTCAAGTGATAGAAAATAAGGTATTATGAGTTAAACTAGCTATTTACCCATCGTTTTCCACTAGTCAAAAGCAGTTGTTATATTTAGGAGAAAGATATCTAATGTACATGGGGGGAAAGGTTTGAATTGGATGACATTTTCATCATGTATATTGTTTAAGAATTAACTTAGAAATGTTTATTGAGTCCTTATTCTGTGTTAAAGAGTTTTACATGCATCATTGCAACTAGAAAGCAGAGAAGCCTGAGATTCTGTTGTATGTGTTTCTGTAGTTTGTGCAAATGTCAAAATGCTAGTAGTGTTATTTTAGGTGGTGTGGGTGTTTTAGATGCTCTGAGTCTGTGTGAGTGTGTGTAACATTTTTCCTTTGAAAATAAGATACTTGTAATTTTTATTGTAAATTTAGTAAGAGTATAAAGTTTTTCTTAATCACGCCATCAGATAGTAGCTTGATTATCTTTTGGTTCCCTTTCACCTTCCGATTTAATATGAATTTTCATCCATTCATTTTTCTGCCAAATAGGTCTGTTGAAAGACTTGGTATCCCCAAGAGACTTCGATGCTGCCACTCACCTGGCCCTCATCAACGCTGTGTATTTCAAGGGGAGCTGGAAGTCGCAATTTAGACCTGAGAATACCAGGACTTTTTCCTTCACTAAAGATGATGAAAGTGAAGTCCAAATTCCAATGATGTATCAACAAGGAGAATTTTATTATGGTAAGACATTTTGGCTTTTATTTCTCTCTTCTTGCAGTATACCCACAAATTTCTAAGAAAGAACATGAAATACTCATTACTCAGATTTCGTGTCAGTCTTGTTTGGGCTACAATTCAGTTTTCTTGGCTCCATTTTCAAAGACCTCTTAATTAGATCCTCAGTGGATATTATATGTTTTGACAGTTTTCCAATATGTTTCTTTAACTTATAAAGTTGACCACACCCACAGAATGGCTTTATTCACATGAAAATATCTGACCTTGTGTAAGAACATTCTGATTTACTCCAGAAAAATCATTCGCTTTGGGGTGGTTTTCCGTGAACCTTGTGTTCCACCCAGCTCTTGACTTGGACGCCTCACCACTTTTTGAATTATAAGCATTCCTTTAAAACTTTGCTTTCAGACTTGTGTATGTATGGTCAAACATAATTATTCATTCATAGTTTCACTGAGAGTCTATAATTTGTGACGCAAGTCAGCATCCTTGGCATTATTTTCCAGGGTAGTTCATTGGACTTTTCAGGAGTTTATGTTGCTCATCCTTTCTGCACACCATACTGAACTGTAATAACTTATTGTCATAAGCAGAAATGTAATTAAAAACTAAGTAAATGTTAGAACTAGTATTTTAGTCTATTTAAAGAAAAATAGTAAAATTAAATGAATATAATCACAGTAAATCAAATTAACAGTCAAAATAAGAAAGGGAAATAAATACCCATTTATTTGACAACCAAAATGTTTCATGTGATGTCTAAAGGATTGAGATCAATTATATGAAAATATTCAGAACAAAAGCATTATATATATTTTTTTGAAAATGGGGGAAATTTTTAAGTAGTAGCAGAACCATTTGTTTTAAAGACTTTTTTATAATGAAATCCTGGTCAATTTAGCTAAGTTCATAGAACACAAAGCCAATTGCCTAATTTACCTAATTACCTATTTTGGAGGTTTTAATCACCGCAAATATCTAGGCAACTATTGCAGAATGCAATAGATTTCATTTTGGCTGTGCTACCTTGGTGTCAAAATTTTTACCTGTTGTAATAATGGAAGACCAGGTGTTACGTGGTCAGGTTTTCTCTTCTTAGAAATCAGGTGGATATTGGTCAATGTGATTTACATCCAACTTGGATCCAGGGCTCTATTTTTCTAATCAGGACTTTTCATGGTTTCTAATGGTATCCTTTATGTATATGAAATATATATATATATATATTTCATTTGAAGTATCTCATTTAAAAATAAAAAGTAAATCTAGAAAGCATGCTATGACACATGTGAAATAATTCTGGGGATCCAAAAATAAAGTAAATTCTGTAGGGCTGAGGATTCACTTGAATTTCAGGGTCTACTTTAAAATAAACCCTCTTCTTAGATGCCTGAATTTCTTATATTCTATACACTATTTTGGAAGAAAGTTATAACAAATTTAAACTTTTTATTTAAGCTTTGTTCTGGGCTTTTTATCACCTTTCTTTTCTCTTTAGGGGAATTTAGTGATGGCTCCAATGAAGCTGGTGGTATCTACCAAGTCCTGGAAATACCCTATGAGGGAGATGAGATAAGTATGATGCTGGTATTGTCCAGACAGGAAGTTCCACTGGCCAGTCTGGAGCCATTGGTGAAAGCACAGCTGATTGAAGAATGGGCAAACTCTGTGAAGAAGCAAAAAGTGGAAGTGTACCTGCCCAGGTGAGAGGCTCCTGTGTGACTCCTTCTGATAGCAGGGAGCGAGGGGTATCGATGAAGGTTCTGATTCAGAGAAACTCTTGTCAGTGCTTTTGAATTTTGTCTTGTGTTACTCTCCTCCTTTTCCTTCTCCTTATTCCTCTTCTACTCCTTCTTTTTAAAAATCATTCTTTCATACTTACTCAGAGCTACCCAGAGACACAGGCTCACTAACCGATTCGTTCAGCGCTACTTACCAAGACCTAGTTGCAGATGTGAGTCAATCTTCTTAGCTTCATTTTAGAAGATTTTTCAAGATTGGCTCTGAATATCACTTGCGTTGACAGTCTTCTGAATGCCATTAATATTTAAAGTTGATAATAGCTGGAGAGAAAATCATCGTCAACTTTGATGGAAGAAGTGCAAGCAAGTCATTGGCTGGGGGCCAAGGTGCAACACTAAATCAGCAGGAAGAAGCCTCACATTCTCCCTGTGGCTGCAAATATAAAATCCAGGCAGGGTCTTGATGTTCTGGCTACTGCCACTCCCTCAACCCTATCTCTGGCCACCCGCCACATCAGACTTTCTGTAGCAGGTCCTATCCATGTGCCTGTAGTTGTGCTACAGACTTCATGCTCTTTTATGCCTCTGGATCTCTAGGCATGTTTTTGCAGTGGCCTGAAGTGCCTTCCTCACATATCTTTGCCAGGTATTGTTTACTTAGCTCTCAGGGTACAACTCCGGCACCACTTTTTCTTGGAAGCCTTCCATGAGCCACGTGATGGAGCAGGTGACCCTCACTTTGCCTCCCTTATGCATCTCCCTGTATGACAACACACTTATGCTACCACCCCACAGTAAGATGATCTTTTTCATAGGTCTTGTTTTCCTTCTGTGAGTTCTTCTAGGGTAAAGTCAATTCTCACACCCATCCTAGAGACACAGAAAGTGTTTGTGAAGTCAAACCTAACTGAAGATATTATTCTGTCCTTGATTACTTTCTGTCCTTCAATACCTCAAAACCTGACAGGGGAGCTAGACCAGGAAACACAAACAACAAATTTATAAACATATGTGTAAATTCTGGGCTAGACAACAAGACACACAGTCAACAGCCTATAAATATGTCTACGTGTGTATGTGTGGAAGTACAGCTCCAGTATTCATTCTGTATTAAGAAAATTGTACAAATATGATTAATTAGTATGAATATTGAAGGGTGATAAATAAGACATTAGTATTAATATGGAATTACTGAAAACTCATTAACTCATTCATATTTATTCTAATCTTAGGAACTGTCAGTGAAAAGTTATATCTTATATAAGTGTATATTTTACAAAATCTTAGCTGACGTTTGCTTATATTAATGAAGGAGAGCTCTTGGAACTGTAAACATTTTTGGCTAGAAATATATATACACATTATGTTTATGTTGTATATTCATCATGTATAACCACATATAATACATAGTCATTTTTGTTTAGCTTACATGTAAAACTTAGGGTACACATAACCCAGGTTTTTTTTTGGCTAAGATATTTAGCTTGCATAACTTTTCCATGACAATACATTTATTTAGAAAGATTTCACTCCAAATCTTCTCAAGCAGAAGTAGCCAATGAATATCAAATAAAACCAAGATTTTAAAAAATATATGATAATTGGTATTTACATATTTAATTTATGAATAATGTACCTTAACTCTAAAAGAATAATTTACTTTTAAATATTAATAATTAAGTTAAAATCACTAAATCAGATTTAAACTCTCATCTAGTGACCTTTTATCTTTAATTTTGTATGTTTTCCTTGCATTTTATAAGAAATTCCTTTTTATAATATGAGAAATTCAGTACCTAGTTAATACTTCCCTTATTAAATTCTATGAATTAACTGCAGCATCTCCAAATGCTTTAATCCTGTGAGGATGCAAAGTTATTTAGGAATATTTTAAAAGAATTCTAAATGAATGCTTAATAAGTATTGCATATTGTAATTCAACCATATTCACTAGAAAATGTGGCCTCTGGGTCCTGTCCACTGAGAAATTGAATGTGGCAGCAGAAGAAAATTAAATTTTCATTTTCTAAGAGATACTCTTCAATTATGAAATAGTTTGGCTGGCTTGCTCATATTAATGCCTGTTACTAAACCCGGCACAGTTAATTACCATGTGTCCATTTCTCCAGGAGATCCATGAATTCTCCCTCTGCATGGCTAATGCATAGAGTGGGAGGCTAAATAGCTAGATAAGATAAATTTGGTTTCTGTTTTTAAGAGATTGACTGTTTTCAAATACCAGTGTGTCAGTAATAAGCAATGGGAAACTGTCTACCTCTCCATTTCACAGCATTAGGACCCACTAAATGTTCAGTGAGGGTAATGATTTATGTGACTCAATGTTAGCAAAGGTAAAAATTTTCTAATAGTTGTGTTCCAGGTTTATTCAAGTGTCTGTCTTAACAGGTTTGTATAGTTTTAATCATACAGAGACATTACTCTGAAAATGCAAGTTTGCATTTCTGAATTTGACCACATTCTTGTCCTACTTGAAAGGCACTTTTATTTTCCATTATACTAGATTTTATACAAATTGCTTTAAAATGCTTTCCTTAGGAGGTATAGGGTATTTGGAGGTGGGGGAATGTGGGGAGGGGAAGTGGCAATAACTTTTGTATGATGTTTTTTCCCCTGAACAGTAAATTCTATAGGAATCATATGCTGAATGGAAATTGTATTTTTATCCAATTTTGTTAATGTTGTATATTCATCATATATAACCATATATAATGTATAGCCATATATTTCTTAGTTTACATATAAAAATTAGGGTAATCATAACCCAAATATTCTTCCAATTTACCCATGGTAGCAAAAATAGTTGGGCTAATATATTTTATATATATTATATATATATATATGAAATATATGTAAAATATCTAAAAGGCACTTTAGAATAATGCCTGCCAGAGAGTAAGCATCATATAATTATTATCTATTATTGCTATTATTGTATATTTTTAAGTCCCTATTTATCTGTTATCTATGGATAGCTTTATATATTCTTCTCTCTAAGTAGGATTTTTTAAAAACCCAGTTCTTATGAAATTATCCTCTTCATTGTCTATTCTTACTTTCCAGTCTTTAATGATATAGCTTAGGTGTAAAAAGATTTTTCTAAAATCAAAATCAAATCTCTTACTACTTGGAATGCAGGTGGACCTGGCTGTAGTATCTTTCCACTCTCACTTTTGTAGTCTCAGATTTTTCATTTGTGATCAGAGTGCTAGAAGTCAAAGGATAAGTGGTTCTCCATTTTGTAACCAGGAACCATCCTTTTATTTTGAAATGACTGTCTACTAAAAAAGCACTTCAGTTTCATGTTTGTAAAATATAACCAGTGCACAAGCCATCTGATTTTGTTTTTTAACATGAGAGATTTTATTAGGTTTTTCCACAAAGGGTTTGATTAACTGCTTATTCATTTTTAAGTCTCCTTATATGTAGTACATATTTGTTCTTTTCTAACACTTACTCCGCACATTTACTCATTCTCCAGGGCTTCTGCCCTCTGCCTTCTTCTTCAGTTCATTTAGGTGGGAAGTTACAAGTGCAAGATGACATCACATGCCTTTATAAAATCAGCCATGTCTTTGGGTTGTAAAAAAGCAGTGTTAAGGCTTTTTACTTTTAAATTCAGTGGGTGAAATGTAAAATCTTCCTGTAGTTTGTTTGTTTGTTTTTAGATAAGCCATTGTTGGGATTATAGTGATTAGTGGTGGAGTGCTTTGCAGTCAGAAAGATCTTAGTTCAGATCCTCATTTTACCACCTTCTCGCTGGGTAATTAGGGCAAGTTGCTTAGCTTTTGTGAACTTCAGTTTGTTCTTCTGTGGAATAGAGGTAACAATACCTATCTCCTAGGATTTTGTGAGATTATCATAGGGTTGATTAAATGAGATACTATACAGGAAAGGATTTGCATATTGCTAGGGACATACTAAACAGTATGTGGGAGATGAGAGTCATTATATGAATGTTAGTCTACATTAAGAAGAAAGGTAGTAAATGGATAATAGCTATTTTTAATAATTTGATAAGGAGCAAAGACAAGGAATGGATATGTGGAAATTGTTTACATCTTGTCAACAAACACTGTAATGGATACTTAGATTTTATTTCACTTCAACTTACGTATTTTGTGCTATGCCAGATACTACAAATATTGGAATGAAAGAGACACTAGATTTGACTAATTTACAGTTAAAGGAGCAGAGATTAGTACAGCTGTTTAATCAAATTACTTACTCCCCCACGACTAAAATGCAAATACCCAGCACCTTAATTTCATAGTAGTGGGAAACGTATGTGTAGCTGTAATACAACAAGTACTGTTAACAGTATCTGCCCTTTACTGCCTGCCTCCTCCATGCCAGCACCGTCCTAAGACTTTTAGAAGCCGTATTTAATCCCCTCAACAATACTGTGAAGTAGGCATTATTATTGCCATTTTCCACTTGCCAAGACCAAGGTTCAGAAATTAGGGAGCATCCCAAATTCAATTTGGCTAAATTACCATCCTCACCTGAACAGCCAGCCTCAGAAGTGTGGAACAAGCCAGGCTACTTTTCAGAAGTAGAAAGAATCCCCAACTGACACCTTCCTTCACTTCCCTGTTTTAGGTGAATCAGAGTACTAGTAATACGACCTGGACCCTTAGCCGAGCTCCGCCGCTGGTTAGCTGTATGACCTTGGTCAAGTTATTTCATCTCTCTGGCCCTCATGTCTTCTTCTGTTAACTGAGGATAATAATACCTACCTCAAAAAGCTGTGGTGATATTTAAATTAATCTGTTTTTATGCTGTTGGAGCAGTTCCTGGTATACAGCAAGTTCCATATAAATGATCAATAAACAAATAATAAAGCCCCCCGAAAACACCTTAAAGAATTCATTCAAGCCACTGAATGTATTCTCCAAGTATCCCATATTTACCTACTCATCCCCCTTTTCTGCTTTCACAGTCAATATCTGCTTTCTATAGTAAACAAAATAAACAGTGGTAAGTCCACGTTAAAGTGTAGGATATAGATAAAATTCAATACTTACTTTAATATGTTTGCCAAACATTTACCCATCTGTTAATTGCCTTTTTCCTTAATCGTGGGCCTGGTTAAACTGTTTTCCACTGATTATTCCTCTCAATGTCTGAGTCTTGTTTATAGCAATCATTCCCTTGTCATTCTTCTTAAATCATACATCAGAAATGGTGTTAATGTAACATTTAGTGACTACTACACTCTTAGCTCTTTGAAGGACACAGCCCACTGACTAAAAACTTACGTGTTGATTAAGAGGGAACATCTTTAAAAAAAGGAAATATTTTGTTCTAACCAGTTGTTTCTACTTTTTACTTAAAAAGTAATAAAAGCCTTTGCTTTTAAAAAATGCATTTATTTGTTAATACAGCCATGTTTGGTCCGTATCTTTCACTAGAAAGATGGGCAATACAATTTGTCAGTTTGGGAGAGATTTCATATTACGACCAATCTGGCTTCCTCCTTAATAATCTAATACTGTTCTAGTATGTAACTCTCTTTGATGTCCCCTCTTTTTACAAGCACAATCAAGTAAGACCAGTTTTAGCATAACTTACCCTCTATAAAACAGACTTTTAATATCAGCACATCTATGTCTTGGCTATTGTAAACAGTGTTGCTATGAACATTGGGGTATGTGTAATTTGAAAAGATACAAGACATGGAAGCAACCTAAATGTCCATTGACAGATGATTGGATAAATAAGTTGTGCTACACACACACACACACACACACACACACACAGTGGAATACTACTAAGCCATAAAAAGAAAGAATGTCATTTGCAGCAACATGGATGAAATAAACCAAAAAGAGAAAGAAAAATACCATTGATAACACCTATATGAGGAATCTAAAAAAATGACACAAATGAGCTTATTTACAAAACAGGAATAGACTTACAAAAGGTTGGAGGAATAAACGGAGAGTTCAGGATTTGTGGATACTAACTACTATATATAAAATAGATAAACAGCAAGGTCCTAGTGTATAGCACAGAGAACTATATTGAATACCTTGTAATAGCCTATAATGAAAAAGAATATGAAAATGAATATCTCTATATATGTATAAGTGAATCATTATGTTGTATATCAGAAATTAATGCAACATTGTAAACCAATTACACTTCAATTAAAAAAGAAAATAAAATCAATAAATCTAACATTGTATTCTTGTCCCAGGTAACAAGATGGTATAACTAAATATTTTTTTCCCTCTGTTTTCTCCAGATTCACAGTGGAACAGGAAGTTGACTTAAAAAATGCTTTGAAGGCTCTTGGAATAACTGAAATTTTCATCAAAAATGCGAATTTCACAGCCTTGTCTGGTAGGAAATAAAAACCCATTTTATTTTTTAATTTTATTTTTTTTTAAATTTTATTGAGTTATAGTCAGTTTACAATGTTGTGCTATAAAAACTCATTTTAAAAATGTTTTTCCATAAGAGCTTTTTGAAATGATGATGTTGAATCCTCTATTTTATTATGGAGTTCTGAGGTAAAATATAGTTATCAATAGCTGCCAGATAAATATAACAAATATATTTAACTTTTATAAGCAAAACTATAAATACAGTCATAACATTATGTTTATATTATTCTGGTCCACGTCTTGTCTTTGACAGTAGATTATATTCACTAAGACACCTGTCTTATACATCTTTGAATTGCCCATCACAACTGACACAATGCCTTGTGGCACAGATAATCAATAAATGTGTTGGTTGAATATCTCAATATGTCCAGTTATAATAAGTCATATAGGAAGGAAAGAAGAGAGGATAAATAAGTGCCTGCTGTGAGAACTAAATGCTTTTAAGAAGAACACCTGTGAGATGATGTAAATATTACCCTAAGTTTTCAATGAAAAGCAGTGGTTTTGAAGAAGTAGCTTCAAAATACACCTGGCGTATTAGGTGTTGAATAATTTACTTTAAATATCCCAAGGGGGAAGAATCCAGTTGAATTATCTGATTCAGGTGCCCTATTCTGGTCAAGATAAAAATCTTAACATATTAGTGACATTGAAGTACTTAGAAATGTAGAATCCTTTGGGTAATATTTTTAAGCAGCTAACCCCAAGACACTTATTAAAATAAGTTATCTGTGAGTGAAAGCCTTAGCTTAGATAATGATGATTTTCTGTCATTTCTGTGGAACATAGGAAATTAAACAATCTGTTTCTGATGAGATTAAGACAGATGTATATCAAGATAAAAGAAACTCAGTGTGTAAGGCCTTTTTATATGCAATTTATTGAACCCAGTTCTCCAGTGAGAAAGCTGGGGTGACAGATTCCTGAGCAGTTCATGTGGTCACAGGAGAGAAGTTAGCTTTCCTCTCTGGAAGCAGCAGCCTGTAAGAAAGATCTCCCACATTTAGGATCGGGAAGGTTCTTTTCTAAACAGCATTCGGCGTCTAGCAACGAGATGACAGTGATGTATTTGACACCACGACTTCGACCCCTCATTCAGAGAGCCTACGTCCCAAAGCACTAATAGAGCTTTTCTACGTGTCTACGACATAAATGTTTCTGTCCACACAAGGGAAATGAATGTTTCCTGAGGAAGGGTCTTCGTGGCTCCCATCCGAGCTCCTCGGCCTCTGGGCTCTTGAGTGGGGTGGTCATGAGGGTAGGACTGGAGGAGATCCGAAAGGTAATGGGTACGTTGTGCTGGAGTCGGAAATGCATTCGTAGCTGAAGCAGAGGATACTTTAAAGTTCTTATGCTCCCTTCCTCAGGAACTCAAGAGAATCTGTCTACTATACTGGCCAAATTCCAACTGGATAATTACATTTTGCTTCTTACCATGGCTCTATTTTTGATTCGATTAGAGATTCCTCACTGTCTCACCTAAACATCGAGGCAGTTATTTCACACACGTAGAATATTTGCTGCTTTCCAGTCCCGAGGGAGTTATCCCGCAGTGGCCAATCAGTTATTGTGGTCAGTGTAGGTGAAATATTTAGACTTATCTGGAAGGCTTATAAGGTAATATTTAATTGCATTTACTATGTACAGAGACAGTAGAGCATAAATGTACACATGAGTGAAGATTTGAAATAACACTAGGATCTTTCAGAGTTGATACAGTCCACGTGGGAAGTCCCTGCTCTTTGATTAAACTTCCATCAGAAATGAATCCGTCTCAGCATCCTGCTCACAGTTGTGTTCCCATCCCTGGCCTGGGCTGACACAGAGTTGGCGCACAGTAGATGTCAGCTAATGGAAAAAACGGGGGAGGGAAGGAGAGAAGAGTTTTATCTGGGGCCACTTTGTACGTTATATTTCGTGGAACACTTAACTCCTTAAAATATCAGTAAGAAATCCAAGATTGGTTACTCTCAAACACTACCCAATTCAGACCTTCAGGATAACTGATCGAAAGCCAACGTCTCAAGCTTTCAGTGAGGATTCTTTGATCCTTAAGTTCCTGGTTTTGCCAGCATCTTGGTAGTCCAGTCCCAGCATGCCAGCCACCCCAGGCAATATATTCTTTATTTTCTCTTCCTCTTGCTCTGTCTCTCTCTCACACACACACACACAAATTCACACACTACTTATGAATCATTCATTTGAAAACTTTCTAGTGACACAACCATAAAGCTTACCTCTCTGCTTCCTCTAAACTCAATAGCATTTATTCTCTGCATCTCTGTGTTTTGGGCACCACGTGCTCTGCCTTACATGGTTGGTATCCTTTTCACATGTTTAGTTTCTTGCCTCCCCAAATAACATGAAAACCTTGATAATTAAAGTATTTATGACACTTAGTAACCTCCACAAGTATCCAGGGAAATTATTAGCATGTATTTGATTATTATTTTCTGCTTTAATGAGACTTTCATGGTGTTTAAGATGTGCAAATTAATTATATTCAATGCCATGTCCATTCCTTTCATTTGCCAAGTCTTTGTGAGACAGATCATGTGAACAAGGTACTATACATAAAAATGAAGAAATGATTAAGGTATCATATCTGCTGTGAAGAAACACACAGACCTGAGGGAAAGACATAAACAGCTGGATTTAATAAAAGGAAGAGTGATAGGAATGACTATATTGCCTTTCAGAGAATATTTGACAATAGCTGGAGACCTTTCCAGTTGTCACAACTAGGGGGAGCTACTGGCGTCTAGTGGGCAGAGTCCAGGGCCGCTCTACACCCCTGGGATCCACACCGCACAGGACAGCTCCCAAACAAACAATTGTCCCCCTCCCAAACGTCTATGGTGATGAGCTGAGAAATCTTGTACCAGAGAAAGCATTGTGGAAGCTGAGAGGGGAAAACATTAAAGGGCAGAATGACAGCATGTTGGGTCAAAAGATGAAGGAGGAGACTGTATGTATTGTTTTTCTCTCATTTTTTTTTCTTGAAGCAAAATTGGTACATAACATTATATTTATTTCAGGTGTACAACAGAATTTGATACTTGTGTACAATACAAAGTGATCACCACATTGAGGCTAGTTACCATCCGTCACCATACGGTTGACCTACCTCACCAATTTTGCCCTCTCCCTTCCTTTGGTAACCTTCTTTGGCAACCACCAATCCGTTCTCTGTATCTCCACTTCATTGGGTCTTTTTCTGAGGTTTTGTCTTGTTCTTTCGTTTGGAACATACTCCTCTGTTCCCTCATTCTGCTTGACTCTCTCTGTTTGCTTCTATGTATTAAGCAAAACAGGTACTTCTCCCAGTTTTGAAGGAGTGGCCGTGTGTAGGAAATGAACCCTGTTGTTGAACTTTTCCCTAACTCTTGGTTGGCTCTTGAACCTTTGTGGTTGACTAAGTAGCCTGGCTTATACTTGATAGATCCCAGTTTCTGATGGTGTGTGAAGCCCTGTGGGTGTTCCAGTAAAAGGGATCTCAGTCAGCACCTAGTTTTAGGCTGATTGGAAGCCACTTCTTGAGACAGCAGCTTTTTTTTTAATGGAGGTATTGACCTTGTGCATGCTAAGCATGTGCTCTACCACCGAGGTTACCTAACCCCCTACTTCATGCAGCAGCTTTTAAAATATATAAGTACATGCATCCCTGTGGAATCACAGTTATAAACCCTGCTGGCCTCCAGACCAGATCTGAAGGTGTCCCTGGATGACAGTTGCAAAAATCAGGGCTTCAGATGAGTGAATGAACTCTCTCTAGAGAGTTACTGGCAAGTTACAGCAAGGCCAAGGGAAGGCTCAGGGATGGTGTCTCCCTGCCCATGTTCCCCGAGCGCTCCTCTGTAGCCTCTACACGTGTGGCAAACGTGCAGCCTGCCCCTCGGGTTGGAGCTTCAGGACAAGGAAGAGCGCCTGTCTCACAGGCAGACTGGGGATGGTTTTAGTCTGCTGTCTGTGCAGTGCCCTGGGAGCAGGAGCCTGCACAGAATCGTCTTTCTGATGATTACAGTCCTTTGGGGCCCAGAAATGCAAGCCCCGCTGGCCCCAGGGCCAGGCAATCAAGGGGTGTCCGCCGTGTGGACGGTGCTCCCCCACCAGCTTTAGGAACGCGGTGGAAGAGCGCTGGCCATGGCGCACAGATGCACCCAGCTTTTAGCAAAGCTGTGTATACCCGCCCACACTGGCCAGGTACAGGGAGGGGGCAAAAATGGCATTCACCCATGCTTCTGCTTCCAAAGTCCTCAGTAGTCCCCACTTCTCTAGCCGATGCTTCAAGATTAGCAAATGAATCCCCCCTCGTCTAGTCCAGGCACTTCTCTAACTGCTGCCTTTGTGCTGGGTCCTGGGATAGGTGAGACTATGTGCCAGTCCTCTAAAAGGACTATCTCAGGTCTCCACAGCCCCCTGGGTCCCCTGGACTCAAACTGCTTTGGTTTCCAAAGCCAGATGTTCGGGGGGCCTCTTTTCTCCAGGGCAGATGCCCCGGGGTGGAGTGCCCAATGCAGACCTCGAACCCCTCGCTCCTCAGGGAGTAGCTCCGGACTTGTGAGATCCCTCCCTGTTGTGCACAGAGGGTTTTTGGTGAGACTGACTCTGCCTCTCCTAGCTGTCCCCACGTGGCCCTTTTATTCCTTGTTGTGCCTCCAGTTGGTCAGCTAATCATTAGCTCTTTTTCAGCAACCCTAGTTCCATATGTAACTTCAGACTCGGTGTGTCTGTGGGAGGGTGTGAGCTACAGATCCTGCTACACCACCATCTTAGACCGCCCCTCACAAGTATGTATTTAAGCTTTTACACACGCAGAACAATTTTGAACAACATCTTAGAAAATGATAGCAGTGGTTTCCTCCAGAACCCTAGTCAGAGGCTCTTAGATAAGAGAGGAGTTTTTGTTTCATATACCACTGTGCGCTGTTTTGAATGTGACCTTGTGTATGTATGACTTCTTTAAAATTCTTACTTAAAAATTGGGAAAATCTTTTAAAAATAATATTATCAGTAGAGTTTGTCCATTCAAAAGAGCCCAGAAAACATTTCAGTACTCTTGGGACACTGCTACACTCTTGAATTATGTGATGAAATTTTTATCGTTGTTCAAAAATGTGATTTAGCAGAGGATAGAAAAGAAAAATACCCTGCTTCACATTCTCTTGCTTCTGGAAAAATCGAGTGACTTGAAAGTCTTTTGCTAAAGCCTCTTGAATCCACTCTTTCATTTTCTGTTCCACAGCATCTACTTTCATTTCAGACTCTCATTACTGTTGCCCTCGACGATTTCAATAGCCTCCTAAATGGTTTCCAATCTCTCTTCCATCTAATCTGTCTTATCTACCACGGCCAAGACTAATCGCCTTAAAACTCGCTCTCGGTCATTCCAGTTCCTGTTCAAATCCTCCTTTCAGCCTGCAGTGCACTGTCCACTGCCCAGCAGGGCGTTCAGACCTCACCTCCCTCCAGTCTGAGCCCTGGCTGGTTCCTCACACTCAGCCAAACTGAACACTCGCTCTGCTCCTCACATCCCCCCAGCTCCCCATCTTTCTGAAATCTCTCCCACCTGAAATCTCTTCTAAACTGAGCGTCAGGTCTAAGATCCCCAACTTTAGGAAGTCCCCGTGATGCCACCAACCAGAAGTAATCCTCCTTCCTAAATACTACAGTAGTCGATTATTTTCCTTATGCCACATACCACATCTAATTTCATATTATCAGTGTTTATGCATTAGATATCCCCTGCCAGAATCTAAACCTCCCCCCACATTGATCCTTGTGTATGTTTAAGAAGCACCCAGCACCGTGCTTTCTGCTTTGTACTCACTGAATGAAGGGATGAAGAAGATGAGATACTCTGCATTTATTGTTTCTTTCTTCCAACCTCAATCTGATGTCCATTGCTTTTGACGCTAAATTCCATTAACATAAAACACAGTAAGGACTCATACGATAAACATGGAATCCAGAGAGTGCTGAGAATCATTTTCTTCTCTGGCTCTATTTAAACGCTCATGTGCAGGGAGGATTCTGTTATATAGAGTAGGGCTATTTTTGTAATGGAAATGAATGACTGTCAGCATTTGGATTAATAGATAATCCTCTTGGAAGGTGTAAGGGGAAGGAGAAAGAGTACTAAACCCTTCAGCACAAAGTACAAGCTTTAATAAAGGAGCCAATAAAATAAAGGAATTAAGGAGACACAGCAAAAGCCGTATTCAGGTCAGACTCACGTGCTTAGATTTATGCTGGGCTGACTCTTACATCCTGCCCTTGTTTGTTCTCGTTCTCCTTCTACCTGGAAGCCAGAGGGCTGGGCTCTTTCTCGTCCAGCGCCCTAATTCCAGCTTCCCCCTACTTTCTTGCTTGGACGGTGGCCACGGCTAACAAAGTTGATCTTCCTGCCGCCAGCTGTTTGCTCATCTGATTCACGCTTTACAGCTGCTGCCACAGATACGTTTTAAAATCAAAGCAGACGTTATCTTATTACTTGCGGACAAAGCCCAGGCTCTCTTGCATTATGGTCCAAGCTCTTAAAAGCAGGCAAACCCCCCGCCCCTCCCCTCCTCCTCACAGCCCAGGCTTCAGCTGGACCTTCAGGTCATCACCACTGCTTCTCTCACTTTGCAGGTATAATTCTCAGCATGGAATCCTCTTGTCCCCGCCTCTGACTTTCACTCTTCTACTTGTTCTCCAGGAACCAGCCCAAATGGCTCTCCTCTGAGAAGCTTCCGCTGACCTCTCTCCCTTCCTAGATGGTTTAATTTCTCTCATCTAAAGTCCCACAGTGCAAGGCGCTTTCACACGTTTTACCTGTTCTTGGATTGTTTGTTCTCATACCTGTCACTGAGTTGGGAGCTCCTCAGGAGCCCGACTGTGTCACAGACGTCTTTCTGTCCTCAGAGCCCAGCATGGTGTGGGGAGCAGGCTAGATGCTGGGTGGGTGTGTGCCCTGAGGAAATGGTGCTGGACCCCACCTTGCTCCACTTTGGGGGCTTCTCTCAAGCCTCTGGCCCTCCTCACTCCCCACGCTCCAGCCACACAGACCTTTTTTGGGTCCTTGAGCACACCTGGCTTGTAGCTGCCGCTGCACTAGCCTTTCCCTCTGCCGGAAACTACCTCCAGGTCTGCCCTTGGCTGGCTCCTCTGTCTTCTTTAAGTCTCAGCTCAGATTAACCTTCTCAGACATGCTTTTCCTAACATCTGATGTCAAGTAGCTCCTCTTCCCTGCCCTAGCCACCAGCCAACACATCACTTTCTCTTCTTAGACTTACCATAGACTGAAATTGCAATCATCTATGGATTTTCTTCTTTATTGTCCCCGCTATTTAATGTCCCCGTTCTCCCATTAGGATGGAACTATTTAGATCACCATAGTATACCCGGTGCATCAACCATGTCCGGCATATCAGAGGTGCTCAGTGACACGAATAAATGAATGAACAAAGAAATGAGTATTTACTGATCTATAACAAAGCCTATCCAGAAAAACAAATAAACAAATGCTATTCCTACCTTGAAGGAGCTCAAATTCTAAAAACCTTTCTAAAGTTCATGGGTGGGGCTGAAGCTAAAAATATTTTCACAACTGAAGTAGAGACATATTTGGTATACTAGGGTTCTGTTATGGAACTCTGTTGATTTTGTTATTTTGAGCATGTCCTTGGTGATGCAGATATCTATTTAAATTGGCTGTTTAGGAGCAGTGCCAGAGAGGAGGTAGGGGCATCCTCTTGCACCCTGGCCATCCTGCCCGCATTATGTTCACTGCAGATACTCAGAGCCTTTGGTGTCCTGCACAAGTCCTCATACAAGCAGGGTACTTGATAAATATTTGCTCAGTGACTGAATGAATGGTTTAGTATTTTGCCCTGTTTTTTTGCAGAAGAGCTTGAATTATTGCCCAGCTCTTCTCTGGGGAACCCAGGGCTTGCTGGCCCAGTTCCCATCTTATCCATTGTGAAAAGCCTTGCTCCATGCTGCCCGGAGGAAAATAGGGCCAGTCATTTGGCAGCAATGTAGGCTGTGGCCCAAAGGAGAAGACTGCTTAGGGCCAGTGGATGGATTTTTGTGTGTGTGTGTGTGCATCTCTGTTTGCTACTGATTTATTTATTTTCAGTTTCAGACAATAGTTAACTTTTCTCTAACAAATAAGATGAACTCATCAGTGTAAATCTCTTTAATTCCGCTCACATTATGATTCCTCAAATATCTGAGTGAGCCCTTGGTGCCTGGCCATCTGCAAGAATTTGACAGTAGACGATGAATAACTCAGGAAGGTCCAGGACCTTGTGGGGGCAAGTGCATGGCCTGGCAGGAAAGATGGCCTTGACTGACACACAACTACATGAGGATGGGCACTACTAGGGGGCAAACTTAGAAGCTCTGATCTTACTTGTGTTCCTGCATGACCTAGTCTCCTCTAAGATGCGGTGGCAGCAGACACATTCTTGCTTACACCACTTTCAGCTTATATTTTATATCAGTGTGACTGCTTGAAATTTGTCCCAAGAAAAAAAGTTTCATTTTCTTTTGTTCTCTCAGTATTCATGATGTGATTTCCTGTTTGTTACATTTTCTCCTACTTGTATATCTAAAGGGGTGGTGTTTTTCTGAAGGTTAACTTTCCTGAGCTCTCATTTACAACTGCAGACACATGCTGTCCGTGGTGTAGCAGTTAATCACCCCTGGAAGCTGGAACATTGGTTCGATCTTTAGTGTGCTGTTTTTGAAATGTATATGATGACACTGGTCTGTTGGATCCCATCCCCTCTGCTCCTCTACTCAATTAGAGTATTAAGTTTTCTGGTGTGCATGTGGTCTTGGTATTCTTTCTCTCTTTGGGGCAGTTCTCCATCAATTTTCCTAGACCATCTATTTTGGATTAGTGCCATATGTTTTATTTATTATAAGAATAAGCTTTATAGCCATTAATTGTGAACAGAATTGTAGTCATGGTGCCTCTAGAGTGAAGACATCCAAAGTTTTACAACATGAAACAGCTAACCCCTTTCATTCAACAGTTACTAAATGTTGGGTTAAACCCTGGAAAATCATGTTATTACCAGGAAACTCCCTCTACTTAAGTCAGTTCATTCATTAGGCTCATTAAATGCTAAAAGCCAGGGACACTAAAAGGAAAGACACAATCCTTGCCTGAAGGAAGCTGACAGTCCAGGGAGAGAGAGAGAGCTGTGCTAATACGATATAGCACAAAGGCTTAAATAGAGTTAGAGGCTGGGTTCAGTGGGAAAGAGTGGTCAGTTCTACTTTAGGGGTGTGGATTAGGAATCAGGGGAGAATGGAGGAGTCCTAAAAGGTTTCAAAGCAGAGCCTTAAAGGTAGATTAGGTGTCTCACTGTACAAGGGTTCAGGGAGTTTCTGGGGAAGCAGAGACACAGAAGTGATAAAGTGTGGTGTGATCGGGCCCCTGCACTTCAGATAACCTGGAGCACAGTGTGTGGAGGGAAGGATGCTGAGTGACAGAGGCAGAGGCAACCTCATGGAGGTCCTCGTATTGCTGAGCTGTATGCAGGTGTGCTATATACTGAAGGCGAGGTGGCAGGTAGAGCAGGCAGGAGAGGGGAAAAGGGTTTTAAGTAAGGTAGTGGCATACTGGTTTGTATTGGCTAAGCTCATCCCAGAGGAAGCTTTAATGTGAATTGGAGGCAGCTAGACCAGCTATGTCATGATCCACTGACATCCCTACAGACTCATTTTTAAAAATGTATTTATATATGTTGCTGGGTTTAATTTTCTGATTTAAAGAAACTTTACCTCCATGTTAATAGGTGAGTTTGGAGTATGATTTTCTTTTCTTCAACAGCCTTTGTTCAATTTTAATAGCAAGCTAAGACTACCCGGAGATGAATTAGATTGCTTTTATTCTCTTTATAGAGCCTGGAATAGTGTTGCAACAGGAAATGCTGTCTGTTTCTAGAAGGTTTGGTTAAGATCCCCTAGAAAACCATCTGCTTGGAGTCTTTTATTTTGAGGAGGGGGGAAGATTTTCAACTACTTTAATGGTTACTGGACTATTCAGACATTCTATTTATTTCCTTGATTCAACTTTATAATTTATACATTCTAATAAAATTGTCCAGTTGATGGCAAATCTGTTCTTTTTCAAAGTTATCTGCATAAAGAAGCACAAGAAACTTTAGAAAGGGAAATGGAAATATTCTTAATCTTATTTGTGGAGGTGGGTTCACAGATAATACAACTTCCAAAATTTGCCAAATTGTGTACTGTAAATAGATACAGTTCATAGTTAATAAGTTATACTCCTTAAAGCTGATTAACATTTATCTGCAGGAAATTATACATAGTGGTTTTTTGTGATTTTTAAAAATTCTCTTTATAGCTTTAGTTCTGTTCTTTTTTTATCTTAATATTGTTTATTTGGGTACTCGCTCTTCTTTGTGAATCATGTGAAAGGATTGCCCATTTCTTTATCTTTTAAATAACTAGCGTTCTGGGGAGAACCCTCAGTGTTCTTGCTTTCTTGACCTTTCTGCCGTGGTGCCTTGCAGCACCCACCCCCCCATTCTATAGGTGTGAATGGGAGGTTAGAGAACCAGAGGAGGGCACATCCGGGCAGAAGCCAAGGTTGAAGGGATGAGATTCCTTCTTTCGGGGTGCCTAGTGCAGTCAGCAGATCAAGCTCAGGGGCTACTGGAGGCAGTTTCCTCTGTGAAACTGATGTGTCTAAATGATCACCTGGTGTCTTTGAGAACCCCCCTCAGAATATCTGGACAGGGCTTGGCTGGCGGTGTGGACACCTCTTGCTCTTTAGGAATTGGATGCTGTCAATTCTGGCTCCTAATGCATGACTCTGCATTGAAACAGGCAGCAGGATCTGAAAATAATAGAGCATCAGCTAACTGCTAAATAGTTAATATATTTTACTGTTTTGGAATTCACTGTTTTTGCCAACTAAATTATTTTGACTAATTATTTAATGCAATTTATACTTTTCTTTTCATTTGTTAAAAAAAAAGCCAACTAGTCTAGATTTGAGGGAGCTAATTATACTTAATTGTTTAGTGTAAACCCTTTATTGCTTTTTATTTTTCTTCTTGTCATCAACTGCATCATAATATATGTGAGAC